AATAATTTCTAGTTTGGCACTCATTGAATCTTATTTCTCTTTTAGCCGTTTTGGAGGCTTTGGAATCCCGCTGGAAGTGATGGTCGTGGAGTTATAGGTTTGATTCTGTCCATTATTTGTAGCTACTATGCATGTGCATATCCTGATTGCTAATTTCATTTTCTTATTTTCCAGGGGTTTTGGAGGCCAATTTTGTTGAACCTGCACATGATAAGCAGGGGTTTGAGCGCACCACTGTGCTCTCAAGACTTGAGGCCAAATTAGTTCAAATGCAAAAGACATATTGGTGTGTTGTTGTCACATATTTTGTTTATTTATACGGAGCATTTATTTATGTCTAGTTTTGAAATCGATCTCAAAATTTTATTCAGGACACAAAATTGTCACAAGATTGGTTATTCTATAAGGTGGAGAAAGAACTCTAATCATGAAAAAGGTACTTGCCACCCATTCTTGGAGAATATTGTTTAGGCTGCTTTTTAACATTTCAATTTTGATAGACAAGAAGGAAAATGCATGATAAAAAGAGAAAATGCACCTCACTAATTTTGCCTGTTCACTTTTTTAGAGGACTTTGTCTCTCCATCTTCACAATCTAAAAACAAGAGTGGTGCTAAGTCTGACAAGAGTCACAATACCGGGCATCTGAATGGGAAACAGAGTATAGGAAATAGAACATCTGGTAGAGCAAATTATGCAGATTCATCAGTGGCCGAAGATGACAGTGATGATGATGTGCAAGTTTGTGAGGGAAAAAATAAAAAAAATGGTGTTCTTCCAAAGTCGTTAACTTCCAGCAAAAGTAATGGAAAAGGTTCAGCTAGCGCAATGTGTTCACCTCCAGGGTTCACGTATGGGGATGCTGAGAAGGTAATTAGAGTCTTTGCATCATTTTAAGAACTGTTCATTAGTGCGGAGATTGCTTTTATGAGCATCAATATAATATTTGTTAGTATCGCACAATTAGCAGTCAATCTTGATACTTTTGAGATAGTTAGGCTCAATGCAATTTTTTTATTGATCTTTTATGAACTGAACATGGTAAATGCACATTAAGCACATTAGATCTAAAATTAGGATTTAGGAATTGTCTTGTTTCAATGGTCATGTATTTTTAGAAGACAAGTATTAATGGTCTCCTTCGGTAGCCATGGTTAATGCTTGATTGTAGATAATAAATAGACGCTCTCTGTTGGAAATTTATTGATAGGTCTTTACTAATACCGGAGTATTATCTTAATGAAGGATGTGAAGTTTTAATTACAATAATACGAAGTATTAAAGGAAAACACAGGTATAAATGAAAAAATAATTATGTGATAAACACATAGTCATTGATTGATCATGCAAAAGTGAATCAAATTTGGTCCAATGTTTTGCATGGATAATAGCAATCTTTGAGTTGGTATAAAAATTTATTGTTCTCAACAAATAATCACATTGTTTTGAATGGATTATCGAAGCCTTTGAGTTTAAATGAACTGACATGACATTTGGAAACAGATTCGTTGAAAGGTGTAATAATTTCTATAAATAGCCGTGTTCATGGTGAACGAAGGGCAGTTCTTCAAGTTACTTTTTTCCAATTTCATTTTGTTATTATCTGCGGTAAATGATAATAATAATACTAGTAGTCGTAGTAATCATAATAATAGTAGTAATAACAATTATAATATCAATAGTAATAATAATAATAGAGAATTTATTAGACTTCTCTACTCAATACACTAATCCACTGTTTGGTGTTATTTTGTAAGTAACCAAAATGCGCCACACACTTTCTTTTTATCCTAGAAGTTTTATCTTGTAACTAGGTTACTATAATATGGGCAGGTAAGCTTTTAGGAAAGGGTGAAAATTCATGTGACTAGAAGTGATATCCGTTTGTTGTCATTTCAACCTTATATCATACTAAAGATACCCGTGCTGTTCCAACGCTCAAATTGTTCCTGGACTAATGCTTCCTGTCTTTATTTCTGACAGCGTGATACTGCTGGTAATGCCAGTGGAAATTTGATGTCAGATTCCTTGTTGGAGACCATAGACCAGTTGAAAAGAGAGAACTCTGTATTAAAAGAAAGGTGCAATGATTGGCTTGTCACAACTCTTTTCTCCTTGGCAGTGTATACCTGATTTCTTTGTGTGTAATGATTTCAATCACATCTCGTTGCAGGCTGAAAAAAAGTGAGGAAGAGATTTTAGGTGATTTGCTGCATGATTTGCAGAAGGAAAGAGATAGAAATGAATCGCTTGAAGCTCAGGTGCGTCTCATTTTCACGGTTTCAGCCTTCAGAGCGAATCTTTCCCTTGTTTGTCCCGCTATTATTGCATGTGTAATTATAGATAGGATTGCACTGCCATCCCTGAGTTGGGCTTAGTTAGCCTTTTCTTATGTCAACCATTCACTATACTGGGGTTGTTATGTCTCCAATTTTACACGTTTCAAACACAGAAATAAGTGAGCCATTTATGAAGACAACTTATAGAAGTCCATTAGCTCGAATGACAAAAAATGCAACAAAGGTACTATATTTGTAAAAATGGATAAGCAACCAAGTACTAACCTCCTCGGCATGGCATCAGTATTCCTCCTCTGCACATGTCAACCCTGATTCATGAATCTTATTTTCTAAAGATGCAACTTCAAACTTGTCATGCCTATCACATTGTGAACCATGCCCCTCCTCGTTCTTCTGCAAATCCACCATAGTCTTATCATCTCAGTTACCCTTATTTTCTGTACGCGGGCATTCTTGAATGGCCAACTCTCTTCCCTATCATATGTTATACATACATTAGCAAGTACTTGTGTGTGCATGACTACTGTCTGAGTCCCTCACTCTACATTTTATAACATGGCGTATCAGGTAGATGAAGCAAAACAAAAAATAGAAGAACTAAACAAGGATCAAGAAAGGTTGGTGGACATTTTTTCCGAGGAGCGGCAGCGACGCGATGCAGAGGAGGAGAATCTGAGAAAGAAGTTGAAGGTCTGACCCCCTCAATCCTCTCTTATTAATCTGTCTTGTGATGATATAGGATTATCCGCCGGATATATATCTTGCTCTTTACTAATGATTTGAAAGTTTGGTGTGTGTAGGAGGCCTCCAATACTATCCAACAGCTGGCTGATAAAATAAAGCAATTGGAAAGGAAGTGAGAAATGCGAAATGTGAAAGGGTGTCATCATATATATAAAACTTAATCGTAAGTTTCGCAAAATCTTGCCCAGTGTATAGGCAGGAGGGGGTCTGGCTTGGTTTGAAATGCCTTTTTCCACTAGTGGAATGTGTTATTATTCCTTTATTGTATCGCCAAGTTTGGATAGGAATCACCCTGACCATACATAAACTTGCCGCCGTTTTGAAACAGGGCAAATATCAAGACAGATGATGATGATGATGGGCTTTGTAAATGGGTGTAGTGACTAACTAGCTAGCTTGTTAATGTTCATTTCAAGCCTTGTTTTATAGGTTGTGTATTGGTGTGGGGTGCTCTCTCTCATTCCCTCTGCGTAAACCCCCAGCAATTAGTGGGGTGCTTTACTCAGAGAGAAATGAGAATAGCACTCAAGTCAAAAGACCAAAGTCAACATCTTAGTGAAATCTTTCTGCTGATTCTGTGGGAGTGATAGCAGCAATTATAGAATGATATTTGTAGTTCATTGAATAGTATAGGCGGTTTAACTTGGTAGAGGCGTCGAGAGAGATTGTTGTTTATTTTGTATTTTGGAGATCTTAGTCCTCACTCGCCATGTGAAAATCCAATACAATCATTCACTTTTCTCGAGGTTCTCCTCGTATGATAGGTGTCCTATCAAGGTTGGGTAACCTAAATTTGATTTAGCTTTTGAATTAATTATGGTTTTTAGTCTTCAATGTCTCTGTGTATGGCCTAACACGCTAAATCCTTTTTTTCGCCGCGTATGGATTTTGATTTCTTCTCCGTATTTGTTAGTAGGGTGATTTGGAGAGGGAGAAGGGAACCTTTGAGTTACTCTCTCCACCCCCCTTTCATTTGTGACTTGATGACAAATCATATTTCCATATGGAAGCAATGACAAATCACCAAAGATTTACTCATGAAAATGAAACTTCACATCGTAATGGGTCTACAAGTGAAAGAGAAAGAATATAAATCATGCATTAATTTTGTTGGAGCATTTGATGGCTTTAGGAAGCGAAAAGAAGGAGAATCTCTTTGGTATATTGAGTGAATAATGAAAGAGTTGTCCCTATGATAGGCGAATGAGTGCATTTGTAGGCAGATTAAGAGTGGAGAGCATCATGACTGTTTGAACCAGGTACGATACATAATCACAACCTAATACACAATAGTCGCAAAACACTTGCACCGAGTCCAAGTGCAAGTGAAACGAGCCCATCTTTGAAGGATGAAGATAATGTTAGCCGAGGAAAAGCGTGTTTCTAAGTTGTGAGGTGTTGCCTCGGCCTAAAGAGACCAAGTCCAACCGGCGATGAGGTGGAGTCCGGGCTCTCTCGAGATAGCTTAGCCCCGCTAAGGAGGCTCTTTTAGACTTGACTCTCCTTAAGCTCATAATATCTTGTTTATGGCCTAAGTCCAATTACTAAGAGTCATGTGCCGATTTTGTATGAGCATTACTTCCACGCTTGCTATTTCCCTTTGACTAGACAACGAGAATTAATTTGACAAAATTAATTTGAAAAAATTACTTGCAGTCTTGTTAATTTACTCAATTTGACTAGACGAGAATTAATTTGAAGAAAAAATGTAAATCAGGTTTATGCACATAAGAGAACAACATTGTGAACTACTTCGTATGTGGTACATATTTTATAAATAAAAACAAGCACAATCATTTAAAAATTAAAATAGATAAAAAAAGAAAAGCAACCATGAAATATATTATATATTTCTCTTGCACGCCCTTTTTTTAAAAATTAAACAAATGTATGCTTTTAGATGATACATATTAACTAGTACTACATGTTTAAATAAAATAATAAATAAAAAAACATGGCTACACTAAAAAACTAGACACTCAAGAAGAGCATATACATGCTAAAAGCTTAGATGAGAGTCAAACTGAGCATTTCATGCAAACACATCACAAATACCATTTCAAGGATCCCAACCAGAAGCATAGCCAGTTGCTGTGATTAATGATTCCCATTGATGATTCGATTAATGTTATGGCTTGAGCTCTGCACTTTCGTCATCCACATCCTCCTCGTCTTCTTCATCACCACTCATGTCATTTATGGCTTCTGTAATAATAGCCTTCACCTCTGCTTTTCTGGCCTTAAAGTCCACTCCAAATTGGCACCCTACACATAACCAATTAACCACCGCATTTCAGATGTCACGAACTACTTAGGTCGTGCATTTTCTTCTTATATGGATCAGGCCCCAAGCTAAAAGCTCAAGCTTGTAGTATGTTAGTAATCATAGTGTTGAATTTCATATAAGGTAGTGTTTCTTTTACTGACTATATACAATTTGAATTTCCCATCTCAAGAGAGAATGCATGTGTGTGTGTGCGCGCGTGTACATATACAGCGTGAAATATGGATGTATGGTCATACCTAGTTGCCGGATTATGTCATTTAGAGTTGCCTGCATTTTTAAGCGCAGAGATTAGTTGCAAATCCACCGGATGCAAAATAGTCATGTGGTGTGGCAACTGAAAGGGTTCAAAAGCACAACTTACAGTGTCAAAATTTGCACCTTTCAGAATGTCTACAGCAGCGGCGTATATCTCTTCTTTGCTGGGCTCTGGTTTTTCAACCTTTGCATTTTTCTCTTTCCCTATACATTGAGAAGAGGTAAAGTAATTATCATCAGACCTACCTACTAATAAATGTAAAAAATAACTGAAGTTGTGATTTAGCATATAATTAGGGCTTGCCTGACAACTTCCTCTTATGAGAAGCCTCTTCAGCTGCAGATGCATTTTTGTCTTCCCCTCCGCTATCAGTAGCAGTCTTTTGTCTCTTAGAGATTTCTACCTCGGGATTAGTTGATGGATCATCACCTCTCTTCAAAGTTGAACCGGAAGATTCTTTGGTAGGCGTATCTGAGATTTTGGAGGGTTTGACAGAGATATCCTTATGCTGGGTTGAAGTCCCATAATCTTTCATTGGAGAGTTATGATCTTCCTCGGAGGATTCTTCTGCACCCTCTACCTCCATGTCATTGTCCTCACAAATAGTCTCTTTCTGGTTCTTTTTATCATTTGCATCAACATCATCCTCCTCCTCAGACTCACTGCTAGGGGGGCTACTCTCAGCGTCTTCTCTCTCTGATGATTGCTTCCGTTTCCTTCCTGCTTTGCCTTCAGGTTTCTGCTTCAGAAAGTGTTAGGTTTTTAAGGCTCAGTTGAATAATCAGTTAGACAAGAAGAATAGTGGTGCATGATACCAATGACCAAAATGCAGTTATCCCATATATGAGGAAATATACCATTTAGAAGTGCATAGATACCAAACCAATGGTGACAAAGTAAAAATCCATAGAGAGTTTGTGACAAATATTCCCCAGGATATCGTGAAACAAACTAAACTGATTGTGATAACATTGAAATTCGGTGATGGTATGGGCCAACCCCCTTGGTTTGCTCTTATGGGGTTTGGGGTCACAACCTTAAAATTCATTAAGTTAATGGATTTGGAAATAAAATATAAAGTAAATATAGAGAGACTGGAGAGTATTTGAATGATATGGATTGAAATTCAAATGAAAAAAATTAATGTGAAAAGTAATATATACATGTATGAACTTGGTGTAGATTTTATAAAAAACTATTAACATCCATGAACCTCATCACAGTATAAACATCTAACAAAATCTATTAAATTCTAGGAAGATCCATTTTGGGTACACATATACGAGAGGACCATGTGCAAGCATATAGTATATATTGTAAATGTGAATCATGCTTCACAAATCCATAATTTAAGTCCGTTTCGACAATAGAGTCCTTTAATTACAATTTTGAAACATGCTTAAGCACCCCATATAAGTAAGCCTATGAACTCAAGAAAATTCCATAGTTCAATTTCTTTGGGGCATTAGAATCCTTTGGTCACATTTCTGAAACATGGTTAGGCACTCCATAAATCGTGACCCATGTAGAGTAAAAAAAATACTATATTCAGAACAACAAGCAGTTTCATTAGTGTAATGATATTTCCATATTATTATTATGTAAATGACTAGGTATTTCAAAGTTGTTGAGCTTTAAACTCAGGCATATACTGACCTTAGCTGGGCTATCTGCAGTTGCATCTATGGAGCGTTTAGTTTTTGTAACCTTGCCTCGTTGATTTTTTCTTTTCTGGGATCACAGAATTACATACGATGTTAGACTTGACCTTTAAATTTAAATGTCTAAGATTGTTTAGACATGTAACTGATCCCAGAAAAGGTGCAATGAAGATTTTTAAAAATACCTTTTCCTTGGAGGATTCTTCTGCACCCTCAAGCTCCATGTCATCGTCCTCAGGAATAGTCTCTTTCTGATCCTTTTTATCATTTGCATCGTCATCATCCTCCTCCTCAGACTCACTCCTAGGGGGGCTACTCTTAGCATCTTCTCTCTCTGATGATTGCTTCTGTTTCCTTCCTGCTTTGCCTTCAGGTTTCTGCTTCCGAAAGTGTTTGCTTTTAAGGCTCCGTTGAATAATCAGTTAGACAAAAAGAATAGTGGTGCATGATACCAATTTCCAAAATGCAGTTATCCCAAATATGAGGCAATATATCATCTAGAAGGGCATAGTTACAAAAGTAATGGTGTCCGTATAAGGTACAAAGTAAAAATCCATAGAGTTTGTGACATGTATTCACCAGGATATTGTGAAACAAACTTAACTAATTGTGATAACATTGAAATTAGGTGATGGTATGGGCCAACCCCCTTGGTTTGCTCTTATCGGGTTTGGGGTCACAACCTTAAAATTCATTAAGTTTATGGATTTGGCAATAAAATACAAAGTAAATATATAGAGACTGGAAAGAATATTTGAATGATATGGATTGAAATTCAAAAGAGAAAATTTATTGTGAAAAGTAATATATAGATGTATGAACTTGGTGTAGATTTTATAAAAATCTATTAACATCATGAACTTCATCACAGTATAAACATCTAACAAAATCTATTAAATTCTATGAAGATCCATTTTGGGTACACCTATACAAGAGGACCATGTGCAAGCATATAGTATATATTGTAAATGTGACTATTGCTTCAACATATCCACAATTTAAGTTTGTTTGGACAATAGAGTCCTTTAATTACAATTTCAAAACATGCTTAAGCCCCCCATAGAAGTGAGCCTATGAACTCAAGAAATTCCATAGTTCAATTTCTTTGGGGCACTAGAATCCTTTGGTGGCATTTCTGAATATGCTTAGGCACTCCATAAATCGTGACCAATGTAGAGTAAAAAAATACTATATAGAGAACAAAGAGCAGTTACATTAGTGTAATTATTATGAGGCGTAAATAACTTGGTATTTACATTATTATGTAAATAACTTGGTATTTCAAAGTTGTTGAGCTTTAAACTCAGGCATATACTGACCTTTGCTGGGCTATCTGCAGTTGCATCTGTGAGGCGTTTACTTTTTGTTACCTTGCCTCGTTGATTTTTTCTTTTCTGGGATCACAAAAATAAGTACGATATTAGACTTGACCTTTAAATTTTGATGTATAAGATTGTTCAGACATGTAACTGATCCCAGAAAAGGTGCAATGAAGATTTTTAAAAATACTTTTTCCTTGGAGTATTCTTCTCCACCCTCTAGCTCCATGTCGTCATCCTCAGAAATAGTCTCTTTCTGATCCTTTTTATCATTTGCATCGTCACAATCCTCCTCCTCAGACTCACTCCTAGGGGGGCTACTCTCAGCATCTTCTCTCTCTGATGATTGCTTCCGTTTCCTTCCTGCTTTGCCTTCAGGTTTCTGCTTCCGAAAGTGTTCATTTTTAAGGCTCCGTTGAATAATCAGTGAAACAAAAAGAATAGTGGTGCATGATACCCATTACAAAATTGCAGTTATCCCATAGATGGGGCAATATATCATCTAGAAGTGCATAGATACCAAACCCATGTAAGATGTACAAAGTAAAAATCCATAGAGACTACTAGACTAGAGGGTTTGTGACAAATATTCCCCGGGATATCGTGAAACAAACTAAACTGATTGTGATAACATTGAAATTCAGTGATGGTATGGGCCAACCCCCTTGGTTTGCTCTTATGGGGTTTGGGGTCACAACCTTAAAATTCATTTAAGTTTATGGATTTGGAAATAAAATACAAAGTAAATTTATCGAGATTGGAATGGAGAGAATGTTTAAATGATATGAATTGAAATTCTAATGAGAAAATTTAATGTGGAACGTAAACTACATAAATTTTACAAAAAAAAAAACTATGGAGACCCTTGGTGTAGATTTTATAAAACTCTATTAACATCCATGAACTTCATCACAATATATACATCTAACAAAATATATTTAATTCTATGAAAAGCCATGTTTGGAAGACCTCTGATACAAGAGGACCATGTGCAAGCATATACTTTATATTCTAAATGTGAATTATTGCTTCAACAGATCAAGAATTTAAATTTGTTTGGACATTAGAGTCCTTAGATTAAAATATTGAAACATGCTTAAGCACCCCATAGAAGTGAGCCTATGGACTCAAGAAAATCCCATAGTTCAATTTCTTTGGGGCATTAGAATCCTTTGGTGACATTTCTGAAACAAGCTCAAGCACTATATAAATTGCGACCAATGTAGAGTAAAAAAAAAGTACTCCGTACTATATTTTGAACAAATAGCAGTTTCATTAGTGTAATGATATTTCCATTTATTATTATTATTATTATTATTATTATTATTATTATTATTATTATTATTATTATTATGTAAATAACTTAGTACTTCAAAGTTGTTGAGCTTTAAACTCATGATTATACGGACCTTTGCTGGGATATCTGCAGTTGCATCTATGGACCGTTTAGTTTTTGTGACCTTGCCTCGTTGATTTTTTCTTTTCTGGGATAACAAAAATAAAAAAGATATTAGAGTTGACCTTTAAATTTAAAGGTCTAAGATTGTTTAGACATGTAACTGATCCCAGAAATGGTGCAATGAAGATTTTTAAGAATACCTTTTCCTTATCAGCGAGCAACTTATCAGTTGTGATATGAGGAGATTCCAAAAATTCCAACAGCTTCAGAGTGAGCTCTTCCTGCAGAGTTAAAATTAGGGATTTAGGGGCAAAAACATCAAGGACTGTATTGGGCAGCACAATCCATAAAACGTAATCACTATACACCACCTTCTTCGTTGAAGATTTATAAGCGGGAACATTAAGGAGATCACAAAAATCCAGCAATTTGTCTTTGACGCACTTGTCAAACTTATCCCGGAGCCTTCCCCTCTGCTTTTCAAGCTGAAGAAAAACAATGTTCCTCAATGAAAAGTGTGTTCCTTTAATGATATGTATAGATGCAAAACTCATACATGCAACAAGCATCAGAAAGTAAACCTCATTTACCTCATCTTCAGCCCACGCATATCCAGAAAATTGACCTATATTTTTCTTCAAAATACGTGCCTGGAAATATAAAGAGCGGATGTTTGAGGGCTTAAGGGTCATGATTCATACAAAAGCCTTGGAGGTAAAAAGAAGTGGAGCATAAGAGTTGTATGACCTTTGCTTTCTTTCCATAAAGAATGTTGTGGAGTATCTGTAGGTTTTCATCAGGTTTCCTCTTGGACAATTTATAAGCTACTGTGATGCTCACAATCATTAAATGATATCAGTGTGCTTGAAAATGAAGATTGTAAAGCTAAAGCCATTAGTCAATTTTCCATTGAATCCACTAAACTAGGAGTTTAGCTCAACAATGTGAAGAAAAACACTGGTCTCCTTAATGTAAGTGGATACGGTGGCCGATTTGTTAGCGGTATAATCGTTGTTCAAAAGAAAATGTGATAATGTGTGATATCCTGATGCACGAATAACCACCTCATGTGTGTGTGTGTGTTTGTGTGTGTTAAAGCCTTAAAGAAGGATGTAAACTTAAGGTCACATTACTTGTGCACTTAAATTTAACCATTTATATTCACTTGAACCTAAGAAAAAGATGAAGTCATAATCAATCTCAGTAATGGCAAACAAAAGTGAGAAAGAATACCATTTGGGATGTCCCTAAGCTGCATTCCTGGACCCTACATTTTAACCCAATGAAAGTGTCCATAAAAAATAAAGAAAGTGACAAATACATGTATTTCCACATAAATGAGACTTGACATGATGCTTGGGAGTAAGAAATCAAATCATATGGCATGATTTTAAAATTAATTTGATTATTTTCAAAGAGGAAAATGGCAGCGCAACAAAGTTCCACATGCAACTTTCAATTAGCCTGAATCCATTGGGGATGTGACAAGAGTAGCCCCTTGACTATTCTACACCCTATTCCCCTTTCCCACATCATGCTGACTTCCCATTGGAATCTGGCGGTTCTCATTGGTATTCTAAGATATATGAAGCATTATTCCACTCACCACACCCATAGTGAGTTTGGTTTAAGTGGATTGTGTTCGACGAGGGGTGTGTTAGTGTGATAGTTGCTGAGAAGAGTACGAGATATGACAGTAGAATAGAACTTCTATTATAACAGTATTATTTATTGAACTTGTTTGGAGAACAAGAAATCAACTTTTGGTACTCCCACATATCCAGTTTTTTGTGTCAAAATTTTCATGGCAACAAGAACAATAAAATTAAAACCGTATGGCTAAAATGTATACACAAACACCAACAAACCCAGCAGAATACCACAAAAAGTTGGGTATGGGGTGAATGCTACTTGCTCGGAAGTAGAGATTCTGTTTCCAAGAAAACCGAATATCCCATGCCAGAAGCAGTAGGCTGAAGTACGAAAGCTAAAATGTGAACAAACTGCTTCCTCCCCAAAACGGCTTTTCTTTACTCCATTTTACTATTCATCAAAGTAAAATCTCCCCTCCCAAACTAACATTTCCAAAATTGGTACAAAATTAAAAAAATAAAAATTACTCCGTATATATTTAAAAAATACATAAAAATTTCTACAAAAAAAGTGACTTGAACAAAGGATCAATAATAATATTTAAAGAAAGTCTAACCGTTTGAATAATGAAGAGAAACCTTATTATTATGTTGGCACAGAAGGAGTACATTCATTCAATGCATAATCATTTGATAAAATAAATTGTCCAGTCATCTTTTGTTTTGTAGAATATTTCAACTTTGTTTTCTTAAAAGAAATTATTTTCAAATTTTACACAAATTATTAAATAAATTGAATTGGAAAAAAGCTTTGATCAAATCAAACATAATAAACCGCAGATGGAACCTTTTTCTGGGAGGGAGAGAGTAAAGACATTAGCTACCTTCTGAATGGAGAGAGGTTTAGCGGCAGAAGAAACCGGAGAAGAACCCGCATAAAAGCGGTCCACACTCTTCCTCTCCCTGGTGGGCCTCAAGGAACTGGAGCTGGGTGTTACCGGGGTTGAAGGTTCCAAAATCCTTTTGCCCTTCTTCTCCTTCAGATCTCTCGTCTCTCCCCCCTTTACTTCTTCTTCTTCTTCTTCTTCGGGTTTCTCGGAGCCTTCCTCCTCCTCCGCATCATCCTCCTCCTGTTCTTCTTCTTCTTCTCCGGATTCAGCTTCTTCTGACTTGTCCTCTTCCTCCTGTGGAAAGTGCTCCACTTCTTCTGCGGATTCTTTCACAACAACCATTGATGAATGGTTGCGGGAATGAGATGCTGGATTGGTTAGTATAGGAGATGGAGGATGAGGAGTGGGAGGGTTTTGATGATGGGGGAGTAATTGATTGATTTTGGGAGGGAATATATCCAGAAACCCCCGCCCCATTTTGGCGCCAATAGTGGTGCTCCAATATCCATCATACATTTCGCCATACCCAAAGTATTTAATTAGGGGGTGTTTGTTTTTCTGCCAGAAGACCTTCTTGCGTCTTTTGTCTGCGCCGCGCAGACGCGCGCAGATGATGAGCTCTGCAGATTGTTTGTTTTTTGGAAGACATTTCACTCAAAAAGATCTTCCTAGCATCTTCTTGGAGAAGACATTAACCAATGTCTTCTAACATCTTCTAACATCTTCTCCTTTTTTTTCTACTTCTCTTCACCACCACAACCATCCACCGCCACCGTCCACCACTACCACC